TGTGTGAAGTGTGAAGTGAAGTGTAAACATCACACTTTTTTGGTCAGATGTTGAATTCTCAGTTATATCTCATCAACAGTAAGTATTAAATGTAAGTATAAAGTTTCTTAGGAATAAAAATAGATGCCGTAATATGTAACTTTATTATTAAGATCAAGATTCCATAGCTCAGAATTTACTGATGGAAGAATTTATCTGAGAGAAATGCATGAGTGCATTTTGAGATCTCTAACTTTTCATTGCAGACTTTGGTATTGCAGTAAATCTGAGACATTGTTAAAATGGTAGATCACCCATAAATTAAAAATGTATGTATTTTATGACCCCAATTTTCCTCAATATATATCTCCATCTCAGGAACCGCACTCCAGTGGTTTGAGTGTTCCAAATAAAGGTCCCAAAAGGGGGGTTTTGCAGACCGGACAAACTCAGACTGAACACACAGCAACTTAAATACAAGACCAAACAAGAATAATTAGCAGTCAACTCAACGAAGGGATGCGGTGCAAAAGAAAAACAAAGTCCATGTGGTTGTGACAGAAACATTATTATTAAGATTAAGATTATATAGCTCAGAATTTACTGATGGAAGAATTTATTTGAGAGAAATGCATGAACGTATTTTGAGATCTCTAACTTTTCATTGGAGACTTTGGTATTTCAGTAAATCTGAGACATTGTTAAAGTGGTAGATCACCCATAAATGAAAAATTTCCTTTTTTTTTTTTTGTAGTGAGGTCCTCTGTATTTTATGGCCTCAATTTTCCTCAAAATGTTTTCCTGTTTTTCTATATTTTTAATTATTATTTCATAAGGTAATAAAGGAAGTCAAATTAGATAAATAATTTAAAATTATTTTTTTAAAGATAGATCTTTTTTGAGTAGATTCCAACTGATATATGTTGCAGCAAACTTATTTTTGTTAAGAAACATAAAGGGACATTCTGAAAAAATCCCCTTGAAAAGGAAAATATGCCGAATTTCCTCATTTCATTCTCAGATCCTGATTAGCAACTAGATGTGAGCTGATGAAATGATTGGCAGTAAATTCTGAACCTATTTCCTGCAAGCATTGTTTTTCAAAAAATGTTTCTACATTTTTTTCCAACTTTTTTTTTCCTCAATTGTCAACAGTTCTCATTCTTTGCCATGTTTCTTTACACACTCACATAAATCATGGACAAACATGTTTAAAAGCACATGCCATGTTTGAAATGCATCCTTGCATAGGGGTGATTTATGCCGTTTCACTTGTTGCAATAGCCGATTTTTCCCCACAACTGCATGAAATAGCTTGCAGCAGGGATGTGTTTTGAGGTTCCAAATAAAGATCCCAAAGGGTGGGTGGGGGGTTGCAGCAACACCATAGAAGAATTGCTTTGGGTTCCCCAAAGAACCTTTCAGTGAACAGTTCTTAAAAGAACCCTTTTTTATTGGTGTGAAGAACATTTTAAAGTACCCCATTATGCCATTTTGAATATTCCCTTTCATGCAGTGTGTAATGTAGCTGTATGTGAACGTAAACAGTTGTAAAGCCAAAAGTGCACGATAAATAAAATGATTGTCTCCCAAAAGAAAGAATCGACTCTTAACAGCCTAAACGAGTCGTCAGTAATTCGAATCCCACTTCCGTCACGACTACACATAACAGGGTAATACATTTGCATAATGCCCGTCTATGTTCTACTTGACCCCGATGACAGTGTTTGCAAGAATGCACTTTGAATTTTTTTTTTTTTTACATTTTTATTTATTATTTTAACATTATGCTTTCCATGTCAATTTTGACTTGTCTGGATCAGTACATCATATTAACTATTTTCAAAACCGTAAAGATACTATTATATCATTTTTGCATAATCGTTGCAAACCCCTCAGAGGACCTCAGATGATGCCAATCCTGAAACAACATACAGAACTACCAAATTTTGCTATAAGTTTGATTGCATCATATAATAATTGCTGTTACTAGTGTTCATCGTCTGTTTGATTACGTCTTTAATTTATTTTTCCGTACATTTCTGCCATATGTACATAAACTGACAGTCACCACTGATAAGCTAAAGCTACTACTAAATATTGTAGAAACTTAATTTTCTGTAAAGTTGCTTTGCAACAATTTGTATCATAAAAAGCGCTATACAAATAAACTTGAATTGAACTGAATTGAATAATCAGATTAATATTCATGAGGCAAACACATGCCACCTCACCTGTGAACCAGTCACAACGTAAACGTGCAAAGCATTTCAAATATGCTATCAACAGATTCTCATGATTACCATTATCAGATGAACAAAATTGCAGCAGGTTCTCAGTTTTCAAAGCACACCAGTGAATCTTAGAATGCCAGTGGTGTGTTTACATCTGCTTAAACATTAAAGTACTTGCAGTGAAAGTTTTCTTTTATTCTCTGACTGTTTGCACAGACTGTGTGTTAACTGATGTGATTTAAAGGGGTCATATGATGCGATTACAAGTTTTCCTTTCTCTTTGGAGTGTTACATACAAGCTGTTCGTGAATAGATAAGATCCCTAAAGTTGCAACGACTAAAGTTTTAAACCCAAAGAGAGAATCTTTATTAAAGTTAAGACTGGTCCACGCCCTCCTAAAACGCCTCGTTTAAACATGCCCCCACATGTCTACGTCACGATGTGGGAAGATTTGCATAACGCCGCCCAAATGTTCACGCAAAGAAAGAAAGAGTGTTACGAATCCGGTTCATGGACTTCTGTCCAATTGCCTACAGAGGTCACTCTTCCATTTTAGTGACTATCTCACTACACAGTAGGGATGTGCATCTCCATAACTGAGGCCGATGCGATACGCATCTCGATGCATAGCCAACGATACGATACATTGACGATACATATGAAGTAGCTAGCGATGCGATGTGATATGATTCACCCCTATTACGATGCAGTGCGATCCGATTTCGATCCGATTCAACACAATGCGATTCGATGCAATGGAAAAAATATGGTCGCATTTATTTCTTTGGTTCAGGCAGACAGCAAATCATAAATTAACTTATGTGTCTTCTGACTTCTAATGCCTCGAGGCCTGTTTCATAAAACAAGTTTACCAAATAGGCCAGGCTTATTTCAGCTAGTCTGACTCACTGTCAAATGATTTGGTTCATTGTCAGTTTTATGCTGGAAAGCTAACCTGGTCCAGGGCAGGCAAACTGTCAGACTAAGCTGAGCTCCTCTAACACTGAACAATAGGAATGCAATGATATTACCACTGACTCTCTCACATACTATCATAGCCATGCAGCCTTTTTCTCTGGTTTTATGACAGCTGTACCTTTTATAGTTAGAACAGATGGCATTAGAACTTTACAATCTAACATTGCAAGCATTAAAATCACTCAACTAAAAGTTAAAATCACTAAATTAAAACTGGGGATCGCGGTGCTGAGGAGATCGGGCAGCAAGAACAAGCGGAGAGACCGCCGGTGGCTGCCCGAGGCGGTGGTGCTGGAACTATGGAAGATGAGGTGGGACGGAGAGCTCGCGGCCGCGCTCCTGGGTCGAGGAGGGGTGGCTGCCGTCCGTGAGGGAGCGGAGGAGTCTGCCCGTTCGCCAGGAGGCCGGAGCCTGCTGCCATCCGCCATGATTGGGGAGGAGCAGGGAACGGGAGACTTGCTGCCGGCTTCTCTCAATAGGAGGAGCCATCGCCGTCCGCCAGGAGGCGGAGGAGCGGTGGGCCGTCCACCGACGATGTCCAGTACCATCGCATAGCACCGCGAGTGAGATCCTCTCAGCCGGTTGAGGACCAAGCGGCAGTGTGTCCGGGAACCGGACCGATTTTTTTTTTTTTTTGA